ACAGGAATTTCAAATACACATATTTTTTTCCTGGAGTGAAGCGATCGAGACGCTCGAACCCTTATTGATTCGCCTTTCCTGCGCTCCCAGAATGTACGCATTGCGCGGAATCTTTAAGGGCCATTGCTCCTTATTCCGAACTACTTAGAAGAGAATACCCGCCTAGGACAATTGTTTTTTCATATCCGACATTGACGTTTCCTCAGAGTATTCGACAGCGCATCGCAAAAACAACAGTCCCAATGTAAAATCGAGTTCCGTGCGGTCGTTCTGCAATCAGTCGTAGTAGCTCGAGCTCCGCAAGGCTCTGTCGGGGCCGAACGGTGTTACGAAAGCCAGAACATCCCATGTCGTCGATGGCTCGTTTGTTCAGACGTTCCTGGCTTTGAAGCCGTTCTGAAGAGCTGTCCTTTTATGTTATGCTTTCTCCCCCTCATCTCGAGCGGACAACTTCCGACGAATCCGGACGTTTGAGACGAGTTCGTCAAAGCAGAAGGAAAGCTCTTGCTCAGGAAAACTCGAGACGGTCAAGCACACGAAGAGGTCGGGAAGCACCGCGCTCCCGATATCCTGAGATATCGGCAGGGGTAGGTGAAGTCCCGGCTGACGTAAAATTCTCTCCATCAGTCAATCAGCGATTTCCGCTATCTAATTCTCTATTCAGCGAGAACGAAAGTAGCTTGAAATCGTCTTAAAAGCTGAAAGTGATCCGGCTGACCTCTGACATGTTGTGGTAATACCATTATGGCCACCATTACGAGGATTATTTGTTGTCGAAGAAGGTCAGGGAGGTCGCAGACAAACGCGATCACTTCCTACATACGCCCCGTCTACATTCCCTCTGACACAGCCCGTTCGTTGCTCCCTCTCGAGGTCGATGTCGATACTGATCACTGCGGAATATCTTGTCGGACGATATTGAATCTATCGGAAAATAATTCCGTATCGATGCCCATGGAATATCATTCCCCCGACCGATGCGAGGTCTGACTGTGAATTGTATGCATTCGACGCTCTCTTTTTTTCGCGCCGCGATTCGCCGACCTTTCCATGGAGGGTCGAACGCAAGTCTGAATATCGAACGAAGCAATGGATGTATTATCTAGGGTTGACATGATTTGTACCATGCCGCATCGGCTTAGGATCCTGTTTGCTAAACAGATGGTCTTATATAGGTGACTTTGTCGTCGGTGTGCCGATAAGCTTGAGAACTCTTTCGCGACGGATGTCTGGGGTTCCGTTAGCTGTCAATGCCTCTGTTTATATCCGTTAGTGGAAGTACGTAGTACGTGAAACGGTTTCTAGGCTTCGGAAAACAGGTGGAATGCCTGATATGGGACAGTAGGGATTTTATATATAGCCTGCTGCGGCCTCATTGTTCCAATCTCTCGCTTTACTATGTTCCGCCAAGCTGCTCGCTTCGAACTATCGAGCTGATAGTACCTGTTTAAGCGAGTTGACGGTGTTTCACTGGTTTTCACAATTAGTGCAACTCCCGCGCGGAGTCAAAACAATAAGACGAATGCTCAGCTAGCGCTATGGATTTTTTCTCTGGAGGGAGCATCGAAGCCCCGAAAATTCGCGAACGTCGTTACTCCGCTTCAATCGATGCGCGGCCGTGTAATTCGACTGTGATCCGCAATGTGAGTCTCTGCCCTGCGGCGCAGCGGCGGAGTATCGATGAGTTTTCGCTTATAGGAATGATCGATAAAAATTGAACAATTATCTAGCTCTATTTTCTGAGGGGAGAGAAGTTCAATTTTACAAATTCCTACAACTTTCTTACGCTCGTGAAGATCAGGATCCAGCGGCTTCGTGCTCTGACACCAGATCATCCAAGTGTGCGGTTATCATTGTTCTGATGGATCCGAACACCGAATGAGTGATTGATGTCCGATGCTACCGTCCGCCAAACAAGTCGATCAGACTTGTTCGTGAATTTGCGCATTAACGGAACACCTCCGCTCTTGACCCTCGTCGGAAATTGCCTCGAGTCGGTGGAAGTTGCGAAACCCATCATGGAAATCAAGAGAAAAGAGTACTGATTCTTTTTCGCGATACTTCGAAAATGGGAAGCGAAATCGATCGGCCGCACTAAAGTTGAGTAAGTCGCACAATCAGAACGCGGCGTTTTCTGATGCTCGTGCTTTCAAAGTCAAGAGGCGAATTCTTCGACAAATTGTGACACATTTATTGGAGCTTCCCTCGCTCGGCGATTGCGAAGCAATTCCGAATATACACTCGAACTTCGTCCAAAATAAAATAAATATACAAGGGCGTTCGCAAATGTTTTCTTCCTCCGACTTCGATAGCTGTCGACGGATTGCCGTTCTTTTTTCACCAATGGAATCCGTTCGGCGGCCTGACGGCGTTTGCAGCCACTTCCTCTTGTTCTTCGTAGTCGTTTATCACTATTTTGGTTCCGGCTGGAATCTCTTGTTTGCTGACTTTGCCGTGCGGACTCGGGACCTGTGAAAAACGTTCCTGAGCGCCTACTCTGATACATTGAAATCTATGGCCTCCCTCTACCGAATCGTGGAAAAATCTCTACGAGCCGAGTGCTTTTATCGTTTTGAGAAACTGGAATCGAGATAAGAACGAGGCTGAACACGACATCGACGCGATGGAACAGTTTCAACGCAAATGACCACACCGTGCACCGTAAATCTTACCTTATAAACGACAAAGTGTCCTCCCAGTTGGGTCTCGTCCACAGAATAATCCCCGTGGAAAACGTCTCTCTCACCCCAATGGCGATCGGGCCGAGAGCCGGCGGAGTTCCCCCAATCGTGCAGGACCCGATGTCGTCCCGCCAGAGCTTGGGCACCACACAGAGCACAGAACAACAGGACGAGCTGGCGGATCATTTTTGGGCGGATCTTCGTGGAGACTGGAAATCGATCTCAAGATCGCTCACAGTTCGCGAGGCAGAGTCACGTCGGTTCGAATACACAAGTTCACGCAATGTTGTTTGTTGTGTCAGCCGGTTGAAACGCGCCGGTGGTTTCTGAGCCAGACCCAACGGCTAATGCTACCCTGTCAGCGCTGCGGTGCAAGTACCAGCGACCACGGTCGCGCACCACAGGAGAGAACACAAAGACTTTCGCCGTCTACTTCGGCTTCGATGTATGATATAACCGGAGACGAACATCTGGTCGGCCTATCAGAACTTCGGTCGTGCGTTGATCTTTTCCGAAATTTCTAATGCGGCTCACTCGGATTACGGGCGTGAACGAAATTTATCTCTTCCTAACGACAGTTCAGAGTGACATTTCTACGCGATTCCGCTCCGGGCTCTGGCCCTTAGCGTTCGCCGACTACGGTACAAGACCTCAAGTCTATACTTTGAGGTGTTGTGACCGCCGATGACGGCGATCGTGTCGTAGGATGGACCCTTATCGAACGGTACAAGGGCTCCGGTCGGGAAATTCAAAAAGTCCTTCAAGTAATTTTCAGGGTGCGAGTAATGGGCTACGTTGTACGCGCGATTTTACGTACTACGAAAACGCTTCCTTCGTTGCGCGTACGTGGCCGCCCCGCGCGATTCCGCTTCCGATTAGCTTGAAAATCGTTTGGGCAGTCGCGTCAACCAGGGTTCCCCGGGTGTTTTTTCTTATTCGCTCGTTTGCGAATTCGTTATGAAGTCTACGAGAGATGGTCTACTAGTTAGACAATTCTGTTTCCCAGCAACTCGCTCAAGCCAGACGGAAGGATTCTAATTATCAGAAACGCCGTGATACTCCTCAAACTTTGATTGGGAACATTCACACAACGACGCGGATCGACAGCGGGTCGGTGTCGCAGTCGACGACCCGCGATGAGATGCGTCGAAGTTCGCGGGTGCTTCACGAGTCGCGATTACCCGATGACTGGTAATCGCCTAGAAGGAATTCTTTAAGCTGTCTCAAGTTCGCTCGATCGAATAAATATGATTTCAGCGTGAGCTTCATCTTGGACTAAATCGTTCAGAGAAGCAGCCCGCCGGCGGTTTCGAATGTCCTTCATTCTTATGAAATACATTAACAGATTTTGCCATGGGAATCTGCTGAAAAATAAAAAAAGAGCCACAGAACGTAGCATTCTTACGAAACTGACGCCTCGGATCTGGATTGAAAATGAGGGGCATGAGCAAGCGTGGAATTATTGAATACGATGCCGAATGCTGATCCGATGTGGTTTATGCGCCGACACTGTGGATACATCGGGGTCGGATGAGGCCAGCGGATTTTGGAGGCTTGAGTCATTAAAAGGTCGTAAGACCCAATAGAAAGAGAATTTGGGAGACTGACGACATCTCTATCTCTCGTGCATCACGATTCGAGCACTGAAAGCGTCGTATACGACTTTAGCGAATGGTGCTTCAGATCCTGAAATTATCACAGGAAGATATTGCGCACGTATTCTATATCCGCCACTATCCGATGCTCCCAGCGATTGGGGAAGCTTAGGGAAAATGCTCACATGGACGCCAGAGATGCGTTTTGGACTCGGCCGGAACTTAGTCGGAATTGGGCGTTTCATCGCATTGTATAGGATATAAGAGAGCGGAATGAAGATTTTGTTCAAAAAATTGTGAGCCTCCCTTGGCGTTCGTATCGATAGCGATATTGAACGACGAATGTGTTTTCTTAGTTTTCATTAGAGGTTTCCGGAGCGGAAAGTTATGGACGCCGTCGTCTCATCCTCGCTATCATGGGGAATGAGTTTGCCATGTCACCGAACGGAATATCATGGAATACAATGCCGGAGGGGCGGAGAAAACGAATACTTTTGCATAATTCAGCTACGAATGCAGACATCAATGTTTCTCCCTTTCCGCTCCCGGAATGGCATCCTCAGAGGTCTCCTCGTACGCCCTCTAAGAAAAAGACGCAGGCAGGAGCTAGCGGCACAAATCGAAGAGGAAGATTTCGTGACGATTAGGCAAGAATCAGTCCCAGAGTTCAGCGTACGCCCAGTGCTACCTCTTGGATTGACGACATAGTTCTCCAAGCATAACGTATGGCTTTATTGAAAGGAGGGAGTACAATCCGGCGGAGGCAGAGAGATGACACCCGCAAGCTCCATCCACAAAATCCGCGTAAGCTCGAAAGCTTGGGTAGTAAACAGTCAGAAACGCAGTCAGGACATCTGGACATTGGAAGGATAAGCATAACCGGAACTGGACCAGCCAGAACCGAGAGTCACGACTGACGACCCGCTTTGGTATGGAGCCTCTCCCGTCGCTGATTGATCCGGAACCTTGACCGGTAGAATCAGCAGAGACTTTGGACACGAATCACCATCCTCCTCCGTGGCCGGCGGGGATTGGTCCGCCCTTCACCAGAATTTTCCCATCCAGCCCGCCGGCGGAAGGCCACGCATCATGAGCGTGACCATCGATGCTTCCAAGATATTTCCCTGGGTTAATACAATTATTATGATATTTTAGAACCTTGTGGGAGCAACAAGCAAGTCTTGCATGGGCGGTGATGCGGAGCTCCGATGATCTGAATTCCGAGTTACGTACCTCCTTGGGAAACTTTCTGAACGTGATGTACGGTGGAGACCAAGTAGCTGGGTCCGGCGACGGCGTGGGCTTTACCGATACCCCCACCGACGCTTCCATGAGTCATGATTTGATTTCCGTAAATCGCTCCTCCATGAGTTTCCGCGGGATGACCTTGTTTCAGAATGATGAAAGTTTGCCCATGCATTTTCGGTGCTGCCGGCAGCGGATGATCGTGTGCCGGGTAGAGCTCTGCGCTGAGGACGATGTTCTCGTGGGCGCCCTTCAGCGGGATCGCTGGGGGCGGGGCGGTTTTGAATACGGGAGGGCCTTGCTGTTGAAAAAAATGCGTCGTCACGACCGAGAACTCGTGTGAACGAGTAAGGGATCCTCAAAGAGTGTTTCAATATTCTCGGAGAGCTCCGAAGATACTCTCCGCAAAACTTCTCCGTGGGGGAGCGAACGGGAAAATAGTCCGGTACGGTTGAGGGATCCGCCGAAGACGCAGCAAACCTCTGCGAAAATGGAACGAGCACCGTACCTTCAGGAAGAATGCAGCATGATGATGACCCCCAGGATGAGCTCCGGCGCAGGCGACGAGGGCGGCTAATAGTACGAACACGTTCATCGACACTTCTTTTGATCGCGCGGTTCTCACTGATGGGCTAGGGCACTTCGCGGAGTGAATGTGACGAACTCATTCGCGACCACACTACTTTATAGGGAACGATCAGGCAAGGGATCCCTTTACTGCGGGTCATCCTTTGGTACGTATGTCTGATAACGCGACGTCGCGCTCGCTCCTGGATGGAAACGAACCAGATGGCACAGCCTGCAGGATCGACTTCTCTTACGACCACGCTTCGCAGGCCTACCGATCTTACCAACTGCAGATGTGTCTATAAAAACACGTGGAAGACGAGACGTCAATGGAGACATTTGTTCGAAGGGCCTTTCTTGCTCCGAGTTCTGACCACCGGATCGGTTCTCCGTGAGTAGTATACGGACTTTTCCGCTCGTGTATGACAGACAGCTACGTGATCCCATGTTTTCGGATCAATCCCTTCGATTCCGGTGGCTCCCCGTACCGAACACCGACATGTCGAAATTTCGTGGATTCTGCATTACCCGCAGGACTTTCGCGCGGGCAGGTCCAGTTGTATTCTTGACTATAAGGGCTACCTAGCTTCCGTGGGAACCATGGATCTGAAGGGTGTTGAGGGCTTCCGAGCTCGGATAAGACGTGAGTAAACGCCGGCGAAAACCAATTGGGATGTAAATAGTACGATAAAAATCGAATCACAAGCGTGTGCTGCGATCGTGATGAACATTTCCCTGAAGTTCGTTATCTGTCACCGGATTCGGGGTTATCAGCGGTTCCGGCGTGATGAACCCGTGAGCCGGGATCGAACACCGCAAGCTCGATCATTCAACGAGATATTTATACAATTGTTGCAAGATGCAGCTCATGGCACGTTACAATTCGCGGATTAGCCTTTCACGCCGCCCGGCCGCGGAACGCTTCTGGATTCGGACAAATGAGGTATGATCGCCTGAAGTACTCGATTGAGTTACATATTGGATGACGTTCACTCGGGAAGACTCGAAGTATCGTAGTTCTCATTCATGGCAGTTACCTCACCCTCGGACCTTGAGTCTGGTCTGCAGGTCAGTCTGACTGACCTGCAGACCAGACGGACGCTATCAACTCGTAACTCTCCTTTTTGGGTTTGTTAGTACAATTCAGCCAGTCGGAGGAGGAAATTAAATCATAGTGACCTCAGATCCATTCAGCGAGGGATTGCGTCAAGTTGCTTCCATGAATCGGAGCCTGATCTCCTTGACATTGGAAATCTCTGAGAGATTCTCAGGGGAATTCTCTCTGCTCGCTTCTTAGCTCAAGCTGCGGGGAATGGCCCAAAAAAATTCGACACCGCGGAATATCCTCCCTGTGCGGAGAAAATTCGAATCAGCGTCAATGCACTCCATCGGAGGTTCATTCCCGGATTTCGGTCGTCGCTCTCTGTCGATTCGAGAGCTGTCGTCCTCCAACTTCGCAATTTTTTTCTCTTTCCCTCCTCTTCGAGCTTCCGATGATGATATGACTCCGAAGTTAGCTCCCGAGGGCGAGCCCCCGAGATGGCCATCTGCTTCCGTAGTCGTCGCCACCGACGCCAACTGTTCCGAGTAACAGCTGCAGTCAAAAAGGCTCCACCGTTGGTAATAATACGTTGGCTATTCAAATTTATTGGCCTCTGGCCACCCCATTGCACCGGGTCTGCGGGTCATCGCTGGAGAAATCTCTTTGCTCCTCGTAACTCCTATTATTACTCCGCTTCGCCAGCTCTACCCCATACGATTCGCAGTACCCATCCGTGCCAAGCACAGGATACTCAGGCATGGAGCAGCCGGCGATGTTCCACGTATCATCGAATTGTTGTAGAGGGAATAAAATCTGAGTCCTCCCGGGCCTAGCCTCAGAGATCGCTCGCTCAGTCGACGGGATCCCGAAATGGAGGGGATAATATAATCTGTGTGATATAGAGCTCCAGCAGATGAATCAGCAGGATCTGCAGGATATAGGGTGGAAGATTCTTCTTCTTTCGAACCATGAGGATTTCCATGCGGATGGAGCTCCTCCATGTTTGCTCCACCAGGCATCGCTGAAGCTGAGAATCCATCGAGGTCAAGGTGGGAGTGAAGATCCGATTTTTCGGCGAAGCCTCGGCTGGAAGACCGCTCTAGCCGTCCATCTCCAAAGCGAACCTACGAGCGACCTACCGACCGGGGCCGATGCATTTTAGACGAGGAGACAAGACAGCGGGTGAGAGGAGCACGACGACGTCGCCGCTAGCGTCGTCCTTCTCCTTGGCGGCGACGTGATCCTCTTCACAACGAAACCTAGCGTCTCAGACAGACACTGGGTGGCCCGATGGTCTGCTGCAGAATGAGTGGATGAGCTGCTCGGATAGTTTATTTACACCGATGTCTGTATGGGCGTCCGTGCCGGTGCGTGTGTCTCTGTACGTGAGAATTATTGACGAGGCCCTTCTATGAGGCTAAACTGAGCTCCTATAGAAGGCTCTTGGACAAGTCTCTCTATACGAGCACATGAGCCACCATAGAGCTCGAGTTCTTCATTCAAATCTCTCGCGAGAGAGACATTTGCGACGCAAGGGACATGCGACAGGACCACGGCCCGAGAACACCCGCGCACGGAATCTGATTGAATCACAATTCTTCTGGGAACCACTTACAGCGGTTAAATTTTCGCGGTCGTGGATCCTCATTGTCAGCGGTCTCCATTGTTGAACTTATTACCATCGCTTCGTGCTCACCAGACCCCCCGCCTACGGATAAACCTCGGCTTTGATCGATATTATAGGAACAGCTGGGCCTATATTCGCAAACAATGTTCCGAGCTCCGATCCTTATCTCTCCAGAGATTCTGAGGACTTCCAGGATTGTCGCTGCGTCGATTGTAAACTACTTCGACTCCCGCGCCACTCTGCGAGCAGACCACTGTGACTGCTCTGCATCCATGTATCATTTGAGCATAACCGCAGAGGAGTGAGAAAAACTTCAACGGAAGTCACAGACCCCCCCCGCCGTTCCGGCCAGGCTCCGAACCTCCCATAGATCGAAATCCAGTGGTATTCGAAACTTCCGTGGACAAGCCCCCACCGGAGGCGAGAACACGTTGTTCGGATGAGATGTCGGGACGCGGAGCGTGCCGGAGGTGGGGATCCGACTCCAGCGATCACGTGTTCATCGTGATTACGAGTTCGGATTCCCATGGTAGTTTCCCGTAGTCCTGGCTCAGGACAGAGTGAGGTGAAGGTCAGTTATTTGACGTAAAACAGTCGGGGCCGTTCATGGGAGACTCCGACGGAGAGTCAGCGGATAAGCGAGACGATGACTTCGGGGAGATGCTCGGCCAAATTGACGCGGAACGCTTTCACGGGAAGACTTCGTTTTCAACGGCTCCACGGGAGGTCTCTCGCAAGCTGTTCGAAGTTTGAATATCTGCCCCGCTCCCGATGCACTTGTAGCTACGTAGCTCCACGACAGTGCATTTTGGTCGAGCCATCGGAGGCGTTTGAACACCTCGAGTGTCGCTCCTAAATGTAACGAAATTCAGCCAGTGACATCCTCGCGCGTACTTCTGCTTCCGCGCCATGTATGATGGTGCTTCTCCGGTAGAAGGACAACGAAAAAAAAAGAGCAGTGATTTCCGTCTCCAGTAGGTTTTGTTCTTTTCTTCCATTAGCCATTCGTTTCGCCTTATCGCCTCGAAGTCGGTGGCCAGCAGCAAGAGCAAACGGCATTCTCAGGCAGGGAGGGTGGACGAGCTGTTGGCCGCTCCTTCGTTCAAAACTCTGTCCGTGTGAATTCGCTCAAATTCGTTTTATCTCAAAACGCAGAGGCTTTCGGCCCCCTCTGCCTACCCGTGGCCAGAGTGCGGTCCAGCAGAAAGAGGGTGTCCGTCGCTCAGTCAGTGTGGAGTTTTGTCGCCTGACTTCATTTTTCCGCCAGAGGAGGACGCCAGCGGCTCATTCACGCAAGCAAATCGAGCATCAGAGAACGATCAGGAACAGACAATCTTGAAATTCGTCGTCGCTTCCCGAGATATCTGAGCTCTTCATACTGTGGTTATGATAAGGAAGCCAACAAAATCTGTTCCAGGCATTTAAGCGAGGAGGGAACCGAATAGCCCGAGCGGGGAGGGCGTCACCGGCAAACTCGCAGAGACTCGTCAGCATTGTCTCGAGTCCAAGAGCCGGCTGATTGCTCCAGTAAGTAGGGGCTCGTCTCATGTAAGATATTCCTTCCAGACGCGAGCCGCCGAATTTCCAGCACCTAGCTTCCGTTGTTTAGAGCACGGAGGCGACTCTCGGTCGGTCGGCGGCATGACACCGGGAGGAGGATGAAAAATTCTGCAAACTCTTGCTCGGATCGATGGAGTTCCGAGCACTGCAGCTCGGAAGCTCTAATGCGGTGTCTCGAGCTGGGCTACCCGGGATCGGTGCCTTTCAGGAGCGTCCAATCCGAGAACTACCAACTCCCATCTATCGAGGTCGACGGACAGAGACCTCTGACGCTGGATTGAGAAGCGCTTGGAGTTCGCCCTTTCGCGGGAAGATTTTTTGCTGTCGCAATTTTCGTGGTTTAGTGCCTCGAATGGAGTTTGGAAAATTCCCAGGCGGGCGCGCGTTTGACACCTGGCTGGGACTCGGAATTCTGTCGTGGAAAACTTTGTTACACGAGCCAACCAAGCTTTAAAATTCGCTCCGATGCCCTGCGCTTGATAAAGGCTGCTCGGTGCTGTTGGCGCGCGATTTCCAGCGTGAATACTCCTTTCGCGGGGAATGACGCGTGTTCACTTAGTTAGTACATTTAGTCGCTGAATCATGGCGGACCCGGCGAGTTTCGGAAACTCTCTTCATGAAAACGATTCCGGGACGATAAGTCTGGAATAGCGGGAAAACCTTCCTCATCAATGAGTTCCAAGGGGCTCCTCCCTTTACCCTCGAAGCCCTCATTCTCTGAACCGGACACGGATCGCCCACGAATGTGTTTGGATCTATGGTGATGCAGACACGATACGTTCCGAGACCGCGTATCCATTCACCACGGTGTAGGGAATATTGAGGGGATGGAAATAGCAGTCGCAGGGATCATCGCGAGAATGGGGTACCAGCGGAAGTATAGACGGACGTAACACACCCACTGTTTTCGTGCAGCGAGCATTCTCGTTGTGAGACTCGCAGATACAGCGATCCAGACTCTATTCATTGTTATACGCACGACGAACGATCAAAGGAGTACGAACTTTTTTCATGCACTCAGACAGAGGACAATGCTCGGGTTCTATCTAATAGCTGATTCGTTTCTGTCTGCCGTCCTTATCCCAATGTACGGCGGGAGAGTTGTCATCGAAGTCCCCTCCCTAAGTGATTATTATCGGCTGACCTATTGTCAGGTTCGTCGCTCGAACGGGCAGCGAGATCCGTCATCAACCAACTCGCTCGGAAAGATAACCGAAAATAAGTTTCCACGATTGCCCCGGATTGCTAAGCGCTTCTGAATTAGCATGTTTTTTTTCCTCGCTCTCCCGTCCTCTATTGAGACCGACGCTAGGGCAGAATTCCTCGTAGACATTGTTTGCCATCCCTGGGCGAGTTTTCCCCGCGAATTCCACTGTCGAAGAGCAGCTCGGAGCGAGCCTTTCCATTTTTCTTTTGCGGAGTCTTCGGCGTTCTTCGTGTCTAGATTCGGTCTCAATTTCGACCGATCACCTGAGGGGAACAGCTTGCGGCGAACGCTCCTGGGAAGTGAGCGCGCAACGGAGATGCGGCTCGCACGTGCTCATGAGTGGGGAACGGGCTGTTCGGCGTTTGCGTAGGCATCCTGAGCGGGTTGTTGTAACGAATGGCGCTGCAGACTCTCTGATTTACCAAGTCACCCGGTGCGAGAGTAGGCACCGCGCGATAGAGGGAGCGAATAAATGGCTTCCTATTCGAGTGGCTTCATTAATTTGTTCGGGAGCTACGGTGCGACAGTGCGTGCGACTTAGATCGGTCCGAGAGAGGCGGTTAAGTTGAGATTGACGCTTTCAAAGAGCGATCCCTCTTCGACTGGGGCCGACTATTTGATACTCTTGTCCCAGGGAGGCACGGCCTGCCCGGCTGTCTGTCCCTTGATTGACTTACTCTTTGCTCCGGTCGTTGAGGCAGGTGGATGCTCTGCGATAGTTCGCGATAGATCTCGTGTGTATGTGTCTCTCCGAGTGAGTCTGACTGAGATGATCTAAATTGGGTTCTTTGAAGGCCTATTCGTCTCTTCCCCCTCCCCCTCCCTGTCCCCCGTCACTGCCCCTCGAACATAGAAGCGAGAAACTCTAAGAGCGCTGACTGAGCGAAGCAGAAAGACTTGCAGACGGATGGATTCTCAGAGAGACCATTGGCGAACGGTTGGTCGGTCGGCGGTCGGATGAACAGATGGATAGTCGGATGGAGAGCCCTTCGTTTTTCCGTCTCCGTCCTTCCCGAGGAGATCCCTTGATGATCTTCAATTACGTAGACTTTCAAGTCCAGTCCCCGTGTACGGGAAAGACGAGGCAGCCATCAAAGCCAGCTTGAGTGGTGTTCTTCCTTTTCTTACTCATGTTGGACAGAAATTAAATTTCCTAGAGCTGAACGAGCTCTATCCAGACCTCGCACGCTGTTCGATGAGCATGTCCGCTTGGTTCAGTAGATCGAAATTAGCGAGATCTCACAAAGCCGTCATTATTCGCTCCATCGCTCCCGGCTCATGTCGGCAGCCGTTCATGGAAGAAGGATCTTCTGCTCAGCGCTCCAGCTGACGTTTTAGGTGACCGATATCCAGGATGCACTCTAATGAATAGGGCGTCGCGTCACGACGTCGTCCGTCAAAAGCAACAACTGGTGGCGGAATCTAAACAGGATGGGCTCCTTCTCCTCGATGGAACAATAATTTTTCTCGGGCGGGTATTTCGGGCATGCTGAACGCATAGATTTTTCAATCTGTACACGATGCATTAATCATACACGGATCCGGCCCTGTTTCCCGCTGTACGTGCGAGAAACATTCCGTAAATTGAGGAGACCGAAAAAGGAGCGCCGAGGCAAACGCTCGCGCTGCGCCACGGCCGACTCGATGTCTCGTCATGCACGCCGCCGTCAATTCCGATATTCAGATCGAATATCGACAGTCCGAATTATCTCCACTGGGTGACTTTCCACCGATCAATCGTGTCGCATTAAAATCGATGGAAAACTCGGGGGCCGAGAACATCGATCAGAACTATTATCCTTTTTGCCTCTAGCGGAATCGCATACAACGTTTCTACCACCGTTTGCCAATCCCCAATTTCCCAGGGAAGAACTCCTTCGGGAGATTGCTTCCTATGGAGTACAGTGGAACGAGAAGATCTCGGAATTCCTCTCAACACAAAGGTTCCGAAATCGTTCGGAAGTGACTCGAAAGTGAAGGCTCCCGAACGACAGACAAATCCCCAATTTTCTCCGGTGGATCAAGAAAGTTTCGATGGAAAAGTCAGTGTCTCAAGCGCATCTCAGCAGCTTGCGGGAACGAACGGGAGTAAGCTGCTGCTCGCTAAATCCATTGTTGTAGTGCATCGGGAGGACTTAAATATTCCTTTCACGAAGCTATCTCGAGCAGCGCAGAAACAACGACAGTCAGCCTGTCGACCGACGACCCTCGTGCTCGCAGCTAACGGAGCAGCACATAGGAACACCTTCCCTAGAACTCGGTGTGTTTCAGCTGGATAAAGGGCTGAAACTCGTTCTGAGTGGGCGAGAATTCTCCATGATTCCCGTCATTGTGATGCGCCGAATCTAATTCGTTTTCACGAATCTCCCACACGTCCCGCGCTGGATCGTTTGGGCTCGTCGGAGGGTGGGGTACGAGCAAACAGCAGAGCTGTGATGATCTCATGCCCATTTGCGATAGGGGAAAGGGAGCATGCGAGGGGAAGAAACAGCCCCGAATAATAGCGCGCCCCGGATACAGAGATGGAATAGACCTTACTCAAAGCAAAATCGACAATGACGAGTTAACCGACAACGCGCGGCTTTCGGATAAATTCCTTCCCAGTGGGATGACAAATGAGTAGGCGACTTGAAAATTTCTACCTAGCAACCGAGCTGAAACGACAAGCGACGAGCTGATGAGCGTACCATGGAATCTGTTGTGGGATCCGGACGACCACGGCCAGACTCTCGACAAGGTTTCGATTCGATGGCCGACCGAGCGTACTGTCGACACCGATTGGACGGCGACGGATAACTTAATTCACATCGAGGGGGGAGACGGGAGGAATCCGCGCTCTCAACGCTGCCTCTGCCACTTTGACAGAAGCGTTCCGCAGCTTCTCCGAGTCCACCGGCGAGACTGCTCTCCCATTTCCCTCGTTTTTTCCTTGCCCGGATGCGTCATGAACAGTCCACAGGCTTGAGGTGCCCATTGAAATTCTCTTTTATTCTCGTCGAAAATCTCGTCACTGCTCTCGAGCCTCCCGTCGCATCTCGAGATCCCATTCAACAACCCGCGCTGCCACGAGCTCGTCTTCCCCATTATTTTTATTCGTCAGAAATTGAGAATCCCTTTCTCCGCGAAACCCGTCGCCGAGCGAAAAACATATCATTAAGAAATGAGTTCGGGGGCTCTCGTGATTCGAAGTTCTTTGCTGCTGGAGATCGAATGTCCAGGGTGCATTTCGGCGTATGCAAGCAAACCCTCCTGATCCCATCCTTCGGTTCACAGGAATGTCAATTGCTTATCCAGAATCGATGTATTCGATAACATGCTCAATACATATAGCTGACCCTCGCATGCCCTCGACGACGTCAAGCGCCGTCTCTATTCCGTGCTTCTGTCGATCGACTCTATCTTCCGAAGATACGCGGCTGGAAGTGGAAGTGATTCGAATTCATCTCGAACAACCGACGCAACGATCTAGGCAGTTTGGCCTTGAGCATCCCGCCGTATGTATTCGCTCAGAGGATCCGACCACGGTAGGTGTCGAAATAGATGATGCTTGCCGAATTCGAGCACTGAGGGACCTTTAAACTCGGAGCACAAGTTTGACGCGCAAGATTGAGAACTCGATCGTTCGTGATTCGACCTGCATTGAGCGCGACTTTCACTCGAATGCTTTATTGAAAATGTGCATGTGGTGTCTCTTCAAGAGAGAGTGAGATCGTTCACAAGTACACAAAGGCGGGAGATATGAATAGGAGAATTTTACACAATAATTGTTTGGAAGATAGGAAATTATTGACACTGCCTCCCTGAAAGGATTCTGTTTCAGCACGCCTCCGAAATGACCTCCGCGGTTGAGTTGTCATTTTGCTCCGGAATCTCAAGAGGTACGAGGAGTTGGGCTGCGCGTGTAGTTTCGAATCCATTGGCGAAACGAACAGCGTACGTTCTGACAGCACCATCCCTCCCTGGGCGCGATCCCGTAATACGGACGAGGTTTCCTTTGAAACGCGATGTAGCCCCTTCACAGAGTAAACAAATGGAGCCATCTGGAATCGGTCGAGGTTTGCCTCTGTCGTCGAGATTGACGGACCGAAGCAGTAAGAGGTAATCGCGTTGCCAGCGCGTAGACAGCGACTTGAAATAATTAGTCCTGAGTCGTAGATTTTTGCGTAGCTGCTCGCCGTCCGGCGGCGTGAGCTGTACTTGACCGTTCGGCCCGAGTCCGTCCAGCGTGGCGACGGAGCAGAGCGGAGGGCTCGAAGGACCTCCACGCAAGAAGTGAGACGGGGTGATGGCCCGAGGTTCGTCCACATCCTCATAACAGTAGGAGATGGGACGATTATTGATGATGGCTGCCATCTCCCGAATAATTGTTCGAAGTTCTTCGAAGCTAATCAGACTTCGGCCGAGCGTCTTCATAAGGGCAGCCTTTGTAACGCCAACAAGCCGTTCGAACACTCCACCTCTCCAAGGTGCGCGAGGGCAATTGAAAGTCCAGGTGATCCGGTGTTGAGCGAGTAATTCCCGCACGGCGGGGTCGCGAGACGAATTAAACAAGCGTCGAATGTCCGCGGCGGCGCGAACGAAAGAGCGGCCGTTATCCGAGACCAGGAGACGACAACTCGGGTGCTCGGCGAGGAAACGGCGCAGAGCTAGGTGCGTTTGCACGGCTGACAAATCGGGGACGAGCTCTAAATGAATTGCACGGATGCTCATGCAAGTTAATAAAGCAATGTAACTCTTTTGGATACCCTCCCGCGAGCGGAACTGGAAGGGACCGCAGAAGTCAATGGCGGTGGCAGCAAAAGGAGCGGTCAGCGTAGTTCTCTCGATCGGGAGCGGCGCCTGGACTTGGTCGGCTGCGGGTCCATGCAAACGTCTGCAAATGACGCATGCTCGAAGGATCTTTTTGATGAGCTGCCGACCTCGGAGAATCCAAAAGCGTTTTCTGAGTGAGTTCAGAACGGTGCTGACGCCCAGGTGAGCATTCGTGCGATGATGATGTAGAATTAGCAAAATAGCGAGTCGGCTATTACTGGGGATGATTATTGGATTCCTCTCGTCCTCAGTGAATTGCGGGCCTTGCGAGATTCGCGAACTGGCGCGTAGTAGCCCCTCGCTGTCGAGATGTAGGCGATAGGTGTGCAACTTAGACGATCGAGTGGGACGTTCCCCCGCGAGGGTGGCATTGATCTCTTGCGAAAAATGCGAAGCCTGGCTCCACTTGATGATGAGCGACTCCGCTCGCGAGCGTAACTCGCCAGCTGAGCTCATGGGACGAGATCGGCAGAGTTGAATGAAACGGAGCATATTCGCGACGACACGGACTGCTTTCTCCCAATGTCCGAAGCGTTCGAGATCTATCAACGACGAATTTACGACCACGGGTGTGACTACTAGGCGGATTTCAGTACTAATTGAATCCGGTTTGTCACGACTGCCCGGGGCTGCGTTATCGGTCGAAGATCTTCAGAATCGGATAACCAAGATGGCCCGAGCCACCAGGCTGTGTTCGGAATGAGCTCGTCCGCGGGGACACCCCTCGAAGCGATGTCCGCGATGTTTCCTTGCCGGGAACGTGAAACCATTCAGAAGGCGACGAGAGCCTTTGAATTTCGATCACGCGATTGCAGACAAATGTTTTCCATTTCGTAGGATCAGCTGACGTACACCAGTGGAACGCGACAGTAGAATCGGTATAGTGGAACACCCGCTCGACCGACACACTCAGGCGTTCGATAATGAATGATCGCAGTCGGGCCCCACGAAGGGCCGAGAGTAGCTCAAGGCGCGGTAAGGTCGTGCCATCTCTTGGGGCGACCCGAGATTTCGACATCACGAGCATGCAGCTGCTGCCTCCATTCGCGTATATGCCCTGAAGATAAGCACATGCAGCATACGCTCGCTCACTGGCGTCTCCGAAGACGTGGAGATGATAGGATGTGATCTTTCGTTGCGTATCCCAACACGAACGGGGAAGACTGAGAGTGGTGAGCATTGGAATTTCAGACGACCACGTCGTGAAATCCTGCAGAAGAGCGCCCGACATGGCGTCGTCCCAACGGTGTTTCGTGTCCCACAATCGTTGTATTAGCAGTTTTCCTCGAAGTGTAAATGGGGTGAGCCAACCGATTGGATCGAAGATGGAAGCGACAATGCGCAGTACGTTGCGCTTCGTTACTCGTTTGATGTCCGCAGTAGTCTTGACAAGATCTGCGAGCTGGAAGTGGAAACTGTCCTCGCCTGGGGACCAAGCAATTCCAAGCACCTTCAGAAGACCGGTCTCGACAAGTCCGGGGGTACATCCAGATGAGGTGATGGAGTTCACATGCTGGAGGATCTCCTCGGAATTCGACTTCCATTTCCCGAGAGTCATCCCAGCAGCCCTCATCCAAGGTATGAGCTTTTCAACGAAATGCCTGGCATCCTCAATGGAGTCGAAACTACGCAACATGTCGTCGAAATAGAATGAGTTGCCGAGGTCGAATTTCGACTCAGGATCAATCCGCCCGAAGTGCTCTCTGAGAACAGCAGCCAGCAGAAAACCGCTGGGCGTCGCTCCCCATACGACTTTGCGCATTTGGAAACATCGGACCTCTTTATCCTGAGGTCCCTGCCAAAGATATCGGAAATACGGTCTGCCCTCCTCGACGAGGTTGGTGGTCATATACGCTTGGGCGACATCAGCTGACAATGCGACTGGACGCAGACGGAAGTTGAGCATTAGCTTGAGTATATCCGGGTTTAGGTTCGGACCGGTTAGTAGATGGGAGTTAAGCGATGTCTCTCCGGGCGCAGCCGCTGAACCATCGAAGACGATTCGCCATTTGTCTCCGTGGGCGCGTTGTGTTATGACTTGACGATGCGGTAGATAGTAGGAACGGTCACGTGCGCTTGGAGCACTGAGATTGTCGACGTGGACTTCTTCGGCGTGGCCCTCCATGAGGAATTTCGATATCTCCGCATCATAACGTCGGAAGGACTCCTGGTTTCGAGACAGGCTGCGCCGCTTAGCAATCAAACGATTCCGAGCTATCTCCAAGTTGTTCGAGAGCTGGAGGATTGACGGTCGCTTCGGCATGGCGACGGTGTAGCGCTGACCATCATACTCGACGCTGTCTTTAAATTGTTGCATGGCGTCGACTTCAGCCGCGCTGTATTTCCTCTCATTCGAATCGACTATGCCGACGGCATCTAATGACCACAGACATTGTATATCCTTGGCGGTCTGCGTAAGGGTCGCTGGACAGCAGATGGGATGAACGCGGACAACTTCCCCACGTGTGGTCTTGGGTCCGTATGCACCGGACAGGATCCACCCGAAGCGTGATGCCTTTGCAATGAGACCATCGGCGAGAATTTTCTCCGAGTTCAGATGTAGAATCTTATACATCTGATCGACGCCGATCAGCAGGTCAGGCTCCATGTCGAACTCAGGGTCGATCAAAGAAGCGTCGGCAAGCTGGTGAGTTTTACCGAATTGACGGATGAGCTCGCGCATCTCCTGCGAACAGTTTGCGGGCGGGTCGACGCCGAAAGCGTATTCATGAGCCTGGATGACAACCTTCTGTGAATCGTCGTGAGTTCCGACCAACTGGACTGCGTAACGGTTTGCGACGAGTGCGTGTTCACTGGCGAAGGCTTGAAGCTGTAAATCAACCCGCGCCTGGGGCCGCATGTCCGATAGCTGTCCGATGAGCCTCGGTGATACAAAGGAAACCATCGACCCGCTGTCAATGAAGCATCGGACTCGGATTCGGTGCGCGCCGTGGACGACGAATGCAGAGGCCGTCATGACGATTGAGCGAATGGTCGAAATGGCTGCGACACTTTGCAGGATGCTCGCGGCAGTGCGCGCGGTTTCTTCGGATGAAATCGGTCCCAGGCTGTGCATGACGGTATAATGATCTTTACTCCCCCACTTATGGCAGGCCTCCTTCGGGCCGTCGCACTGGCGCGGTGATACGTGTTGAAATTGGAAGCATTTCGGGCAACGCTTCTTCTGATTAAGTATCTCGACGCGGCGATGACCCGGAAGGTCCGCTGAGCAAACTGAGGGACGATGCTCGGAGCTACCGCAGAATAAGCAGGGGTTCTTCCGAACCTTTGGCTGCCTCCGAGATCCCTTGCTTGCGGTCGCAACGGCTGTAGACGGAAATTGTTGACGGGGCGGAAATCTGGGGGCTTCGCGCGTCTTAGGTCGCTTCTGATCGTGAAGACCCAATCCGTTGACGTCTCCGACATTATTCCGTTGCTTGGTTGAAGCTCTCTCCCGGAGCGCAGTGTAACGGCGGAGGAATGAGAGCAATCGCTCCAGACGCACAGCCGCTGCGGCAGCCTGATCCTGCTGCTCGGTCTCCCCTGAGTCGGCATCGAGCTGCTGACGATCGTCGAACGTTAGGATCAATGAGATTGGGAGTGCGCTACGAACTGTTTGTTCGTAGGTGAGGGCGATCGTATGCAAGGGTACATTGACAGTCGCCAGCGCTAGGATAGTGCGCTGAACGACATTTAACAACTCACGCAAGCCAACCGTATCATACGCATGACGAACACTTGGTACGTTGACTACGTTGGCGAGTACATCCTGCTGCCGGCGATCCGGAACGTCGTAATTCTCATCGAGTAGTCGGAGAGCTACCTCGTAGTTGCTGTCGGTCAGCGGTAGCTCACAGATGAGATCTTTCGGAGGGCCTCTTAAGAGCTTGCACATAGCGACCAACTTGTCGCAACCTGTGGCCTCACTTCGGCTTCGGACGTAGTTTAGGAATTGAGACTTCCATAGCTTGTATCGGGCGATGCTTCCTTCGAAAACCTCGGGGGCAGTGTCTAAGAATAGTCTTGAGTTCGCGCACTTGTTCGCCGTATTCGAGCCATTGTTGACATTTTCTCGAGCTGATGTTGACGTGAGGCCGCCGTCCGATCGCTCAGACGATAGCGATCCGCTGACGACGACGCCGCCGCTCGCGGCGGCTACCGGCGGAAGGGTTTGACTACCGACGGCGGCAGCCGACCCGCTCGATGAGCCGGACAATGTCGACTCGACGCCGCTCTCTATCGATTGGAGCTCCATTAGAGCATCGACGAGTGCCGTCGCCGACAAACAGGCTTCGACTGCAACCTCAGCCTCTTCGGCTTCACGCTCAGCATCGTTGGCCGGGAGCGATTTATGGCTGCAGATCTGATCCACGAGTGCTCGGATTATTTCAACGCGGCTCTGGATTCTGGATTTAGCGCCGAGAAATTCGAGGCGATTCGAATCCGTAATTCGATCGATGTCCTTGATCGCCCGAATCTCTTCCAGGAGCGCATTTTTGGCTCGAGTTCTTCGGCCGCGAAGGACGGACAGGCTCGGGGCGAGATCCTGAGCGGGCTCTTGAGGCACGCGATCTGCCCCAACGTGCCGCAGCAAGCGGTCGTCTTGGTTCGGCGAGTGTCCCACAGGCATTCGGATGATCGAAACGGGTTAATCCTGGTCACTTGCACCAAATTGTCGAAATAGATGATGCTTGCCGAATTCGAGCACTGAGGGACTTTTAAACTCGGAGCACAAGTTTGACGCGCAAGATTGAGAACTCGATCGTTCGTGATTCGACCTGCATTGAGCGCGACTTTCACTCGAATGCTTTATTGAAAATGTGCATGTGGTGTCTCTCCAAGAGAGAGTGAGATCGTTCACAAGTACACAAAGGCGGGAGATATGAATAGGAGAGTTTTACACAATAATTGTTT